AAAAATCCGGATATTACATTTAATAACTAAATTGGGAATGACAACATTAAAAAATAATAGACAGCTAATATATTATCAAAAAATAAAATTACAATATTTAAAATGAGTACAAACAATGTGCAATGACTGATAAAAAAAAAGTGCATATATATACACACACACTAAATACTAAAATTTATACAATATATAAATATTAAAATGTACTTTATATATCGATATAACACTTATATATTCATAAATAAAAATATTTTTTTCATTCTTATTCTAGGATATTCTGTCATAATATTAAAAAATTCACTTAAAAAATTATTTTTTAAAATTTGAGTTAGAAGGATCTAAAAGCTCAGGCACTCAGGCCTAAAATTTTTGTTAAAGGGAAAATTACTATTTCATTTTTATATATTAATCAAATACATGAGTTAAAGATATGTCTTTTTAAAAGTACATGATTACATCTCTAGGTTATGTTTCCGCTAAACACATTAGTCTTTTTCCTCCACTTTTATGTCTTTAATAGTGAGTCAACGCACTAAAATGCAATCAAAGAATATAGAGATTTTTTATAACTAAAATACACCTTAATCACTTACCTTCACTATCTTCTCCTCTCTCTACCATTTTCTCTATTCTCTTTATTCATCTTCTTCAAATTTTCCTTCTTATTTGGTCCCTTCATCTTCCTCAACCTTCCCCATCCGCCATACACAGAGGAAGTCACTGGAGGTGGCTAACAAATCCGACTTTTAACAGTTATTAGAAATAAACATGATCTTAGTATATATGTCATGGATCTCCAGTTGCTTTTGTTGTTCATCCAACAAATCTGGTTTCCTCATTCTAAAATCCGACTTGTTAAAAATTAATTATCTTTTTCTTTCTTTGTTGTCAAATATTGTCCGCTACCATTTTCTCTTCATCAAAACTTCCTTAACTCCGAAACTAGACCTATCATTTCATGTTGAAAAATTGTAAAAATGTAAGCCATAAATTAAGTGTGTATAATCGAGTGGTACTTTTATCTTTTTAATATAAACTAGTATTTTGCATGACATGCATTCGGTATTACTCATTGTTTATACTCATTAATTTATTCTTATATAGCATTAAGTATGGTTATAATTTTTCTCTTACTTTCTCTAGATATTTATACAATGTTAAGACATGATTAATAATATTCATATTATAAACGAATAATTTTTTTCTTAAACTGATTTTAATATGATAGGACAACATTGAAAGTTAAGTATATTTAATAAAATAATTATAGATGATAAAATGAAAAAATATTATTAATTATAAGATTAGACTTCATTTTTTCTAAAATAATAAGGTTAAACTTTAATTAGAATCTATTCCTTTAAAAAAACTAAATAATATGATCCTATGTTATTGAATGTTGATTTGAGTTCATGTAAAATTTAGATATAGATAAATAGATATAAATAAAAAAAAAATTCAAAATTTTAAAAGTGATATATATATAAAACATGTGAAATAGTATATATATATACACATTGCATTTTAAAGTTTATTTTAAAATTAAAACAATAATATGTTTTTTTAAATCATTAATATCGTAAATAATCAATGATTAAAAATTCAATTAGAATAATATATTAAAATAATATTAATAAACGAATAATTTTTTTTCTTAAACTGATTTTAATATGATAGGACAACATTGAAAGTTAAGTTAATATTTTTAATAAAATAATTATAGATATGATAAAATGGAAAAAATATTTTTATTATTATAAGAATTAGACTCATTTTTTCTAAAATAATAAGTTAAACCTTTAATTAGAATCTTTCCTTAAAAAAACTTAAATTAATATGAATCCTATGTTTTGGAATGTTGAATTGGAGTTTTCATGGTAAATTTTTAGATATAGATAAATAGATATAATAAAAAAAAATTCAAAATTTTAAAAGTGATATATATATAAAACATGTTGAAATAGTATATATATATCAATTGCATTTTTAAAAGTTTATTTTAAAATTAAAACAATAATATGTTTTTTAAATCATTAGATTATCGTAATAATCAATGATTAAAAATCAATTATTAGAATAATATATTAAAATAATAATATTAGCTATTAAAAAATAATAAAATAATATTTTTTAATTAATTAATAAAAAGTATTCAAAAATTATAATTTATTAATTACTAAAAGCTCAAAAATTATTTAATAAACTCAAACTATTATCAATTATCTAATAACTAAAGATATTTTAGGATTTCTAAACTTTCACTAAGTTTATTATAAGTAGTCTCACTATTCTCCTTCATTCCCCTCCAATAACTATGCTTGTTATAGTATCATTTTTTGATACCCTTTTTAAATATTTTATCTATATAATATTAAAGCATAAATTTTTATTTTAGATTAAAATAAATACAATTAGTTAGTTTCCATTAGATTTTATCGCACAAGCTATTTGTAATGCCACTTCTTATGTATTTAATGCTATTTTTATATGATAAAATTTTTATATAATGAAGTGTTCTCAAAATAAAGTTCGACTCAATCAATAGACCTAATCATTCAGTTCCTAATTTATAAATACAGATTCTTAAAACCTTAATATGTGCCCAAAATAAAAATCAAGTCATCACTCACTTCAACCCTCTGCCCTCAACCCCAAATCAATATCTATATACAACTATAATGAAAATAATAATAGATTATTTTTTACTGCTAGGTAAAAGAAAAAAAAAAAGAAGAATGATCTAAATTGATAACGATAATCACTTTAACTATAATGACAGTATTACTTATCCAGTGTATTAGAGAAAAGAATATGTGTGTAGACACAAATTCTTGAAACCCACAAAATGATGCAAAACAGAAATATATAGTTATATTATTTTTCCAGTCTTATAAACATTATTTTCTTCAAGTCAAACGTATTTAGAATATGAGAGAAAAATATCAAGAAAATTAAAAATACTTAATCATCAAGATGCATCTATTTATTGTAAGGAATATATAAATTTATTACTAAATTAAATTGATAGCAGTTACAAACTAATTCAGTAATGAAAAAAAAAATTATTAGAATAAAATTCTTTCAAAAGTCAATATATAACAACAAACAAATTATATTAAAAAATTACTAAAATCAACCCATTATTCAATTGGGAATGTCATAATTTAATGAAATTTGATATTGATGGATAAAAAAAAAGACTAAAGCCAAATCAATAAATCAAAATTACAAAACAATTTATGCTACGATCTAATATTGATCAGTCAAAGAATTTATTCAAGTATTTAGTTTCTTTATTGTTCAAAGTTGCAAATTTAAAATAAATAAATAAGTTAATTAATTAATAAAAAAGATTGCATAAAAGAAACGTACTATTCTCTCTAAATAAACCCTCAATTTTTTTTACAACAATGTGAAAAAAAAAATACTTTTTTCTTTTTTATCTCTCTCTTAAATAATTTGAAATTTTATTTTTAAAAAAATATATCTAATCAAATCACACAAATGTAAAGAAAAAAAGAATATTAAAAATATAATATATATGTTTTTCTTTTTTATCTCTCCTAAATAAAGTATTTTAAATTATAATCAAAATAAAAGTAAATATTTAAAAAATAAAATATAAAATATCAAAATAAAAACAGTAAATATTTTAAAAAAATTAAAATATAAAAATTTTTCAAATGTCTTCATTATCTCTCAATATTATATATATCATATACTATATTAAAAAAAAATTTTTAAAAAAGATAAAACTTAAACATTTTTGAAAATTCTTAATATCTTATATATATTTATTTTAAAAATAATTTTTATAACTAATTTATAGTCTAATCAACTAATAAAATGTAATTTTTCTAAGTTGGTTATAACTAAGACTATCTATAGGATTATTTTAAATTTCGTAAAGGGCGATATTCGAAAATTTCATTATTTCTATCTTTATATATAATAATTAGTCTTTTTTATATTGACGTGCTATTTTTTATATAATAAGAGTTGATTCTCAACTAAAATTGATTAATGATATCAGTTTTGGGCTACAGTGAAAATATGTACTTACTTAGTGTTATTAGAAAATGGAATTATTTAAAAAATAATTTTTATAAATTATATCTAATCAACTAATAAAATGTAATTTTCTAATTGGTTATAACTAAGACTATTATAGGATATTTTAAATTTCGTTAAGGGCGATATCGAAAATTTCATTATTCTAGTCTTTATATATAATATTAGTCTTTTTTATGACGTGCTATTTTTATATAATAAAGTGATCTCAAACTAAATTGATAATGATAATCAGTTTGGCTACAGTGAAAATATTACTTACTTAGTGTATTAGAAAATGGAATATATATTGGCGCCTAATAAGCAAAAAATAAAAAATAAAAATAAACAAGTGGGATGCAACAGTCTCATATCATTTTTAACTATCCAGATGTACAAAATACACTCAATTATTAAAAAATTAAAAATTCATTTACCAAATTATTAACTTTTTTTCCATTCATACACAAAAATATAAAATTTCGTCAAAAACACACAAAAATTGCAATTGTCCCAAATACATAAGACTTGAATAGTCCAAAACACGGTTACTGGCAGGTGAGGTCAGCAGCAATTAGGAGTGAGGCCAGTTACACAAAAATCCAACTATAACTAATTTCATTCGGTTTGTCCGTCTTCAATGTAGATTTTCAATTTTCTGGTCTTCAATATAGATTTTAATATAAAAAATTGAAAATTTTAATTTTCATTATATCCAAAAAAAACTCTTAAAATAGTTAAAACTAAATAAAATTGAATCAAATTAAACCCATCTGATTAATGTCTCTTGACGGTTCTGTTTTAATTCCATTCGTGTTTCAAAAATTTTAGCGCATTTGATTTATATTTATTTTAATTTTAAATTCGATTTTAACTGAACCGATGTAATCCTCTCACTTGAGCATCAGCATACCTTTGAATTAGAACAAAAAACGCAACCCCACCACACGCCTCTACTTCTACGGCCATCAGTAATTTGGCATCTCTTCTTTCGCGTTTTGTTGACTGCAATTTTGTGGATTCTCTACCTTGGTGTATTGCTTTCTATCTCTGTGGAATTTTATGGTTCTTTTCTGGTTGAAGAGAAGGGCTTGTTTAAGCCACACGCCTGAGCAAAGAAAAGACACTTTTAAGTGAAGTGAAGAAGCGTTTTGTCCTAAATCTCTACTTTTTTTAATCTACTTCCATTTCTGTCGTTCCCACCTTTTCCCTTTCTCTGTCTTTTAATACCTATCAACTCTATGGTAAGAAAATAAATTAGTTAGAGGATGGGATAGGTCAACTATAGTTGAAGGGATCGGAATTTGTGGACCTGACATGTGTTCAAATGCATTGCATCCATGTTTGGAAATGTTGATTAGTGTACTGCAAATTACTACGAAGACCTGTTTTTGTACTTCTTTGTAGTACATGGATAATGGGTCCTTTTTACTTTTCAAATTTCAGGGTAGTTGAGAGAGAGAGCGGTACTGCCTCTATTGTGTATATAAAAAAAAAATTCTGTACCTAATTATGTCATGTATATCTGATTAACAAAACCCATTTGGAGTATTGCGTTTGTCTGGCATTTAATGCTTATATTGGTCTTATGAAAAGCTCAATCCGGTCAGATGTTGTTTCTTCGATATAATAACCCAATTGAAGCTTGTGCGCTATACTGTCTGTTTTTGTTGGAAGGTCTTCTTATGAGGCAACTCTGGGTGTGAACGTTAAGCCTTTTCGAGGGTTTCACTTTTTCATTTCTGTGAGTTTTTGGATTTTTATGTCCATTTGGGTAATTTTCGATTGAGATTTGTCATTAATATGTAAAAGTTTTCAACTGTTTCCTACGTAAGAAATAAGCAGCAGACTTAAAGGTAAGATCAGATTTTCTATATATGCAAGTATTTTTACCAATTGTAACTAGGAAATTGGTTGAAAAATGCCCCTTCTGTTTTTTGGTTTATTGTTTTAGGGAGAAGATTTTTGATGAATAATCAAATGAGGAATATGAACATGGAAGTGAAAGATATTGACAAGATTGAGGACGATTTGGAAGACGGGGAAAATCAACATGAGGATGTTACAAGAATTGCTCCGTGGACTAAACAGATAACAATTAGAGGGGTCATAGCTAGTTTAGCTATTGGCATCATTTACAGTGTGATAGTCATGAAACTAAACCTCACCACAGGTCTAGTCCCTAATCTTAATGTTTCTGCTGCTCTCCTGGCCTTTGTTTTCATTAGAAGTTGGACTAAGCTCCTTGATAAAGCTGGAATTGTATCTAATCCATTCACTAGACAAGAAAATACAATAATTCAGACTTGTGCTGTTGCTTGTTATAGCATTGCTGTTGGAGGTTAGATGTTTTGACCTTATATTGCTATTTAGAGCAATTTAGTTTAATTATTTTTGGTTAAGTTTTGTATGTTTTAGAAAATTGTGCTTTTCTCGATCTGTATCAATTATGGAAATTTCAGGTGGTTTTGGGTCTTATCTACTGGGATTAAACAGGAAGACATATGAGCAAGCTGGGGTTGATACACAAGGGAATGCTCCTGGGAGCACAAAGGAGCCTGGGATTGGTTGGATGACTGGTTTCCTCTTCGTGAGCAGTTTTGTTGGGCTGCTTGCATTGGTTCCTCTTAGAAGGGTAAACTTTTTTCCCCTTTTTGTTTCTTCAATCTTCTTTCTTGATTGAATTATTGTTCTGCATATTATCGTTTTCAAATTCTTCTGTAAGAAGTTTGTGGGTTGATTTTTTTAAAACTCTTCATTGTATTGTTTAGTTCAGAAAAAAAAAAAAAAGAATTTGCACAAACATAAAAAAAATATATATTTTTATCTATTTTTTAAATCGAGTTCGATCCCCAATACCGAAGAAAGAGTTCAGGGATTACTAGATCAGGAGTTACTAAATATGGGACTATAGGAGTGCAGCTCTAGTTACAGTAATGTTGTTTGTGAATCTAGAATTGGTCTCTGATCAAGCTATTTTTATTGTGCCAGATCATGATAATAGATTACAAACTACCTTATCCAAGTGGAACTGCTACTGCAGTTCTAATTAATGGATTCCACACTCCTAAAGGAGACAAGATTGCTAGGTACACATCTGCTATGCTAAATTCTTGCTTATTGAACATGAATTAGAATACTTTAACCTTGAAATGATTCAAACGAGTTAACATCCATCTTTCAGGAAGCAGGTTCATGGGTTCATGAAGTATTTTTCAATTAGCTTCTTTTGGGCTTTCTTTCAGTGGTTTTACTCTGGTGGAGAGCAATGTGGATTTGTTCAATTCCCAACATTTGGCTTGAAAGCATGGAAAAACACGTAAATGCTTCAAACGCTGTATCCATGCCCCATAGCTCTTTTCTGATTGATTCTTCATCATCATTGATTAAAGAAGTTGCATTTTGCAGATTTTACTTTGATTTCAGTATGACTTACATTGGAGCAGGAATGATCTGTTCCCATCTTGTGAATATGTCTTTGCTTCTCGGTGCGGTGCTTTCTTGGGGAGTTATGTGGCCACTGATACATGGGCTTAAAGGAGAGTGGTTCCCTGCTACTTTACCAGAAAGCAGCATGAAGAGTCTAAATGGTTACAAGGTACACCACTGAAACATTGCCGATTCTTTTCTTTAGTAGAGTTTCCTTTCTTAACTTTAAGTACTGGCTGTGATTGCTAAAGTCGATCTTTTAATATGTGTTGCAGGTCTTTATTTCTATTGCTCTAATTCTAGGAGATGGACTCTACAATTTTCTCAAAATATTATATTTCACTGCCAGTAGCATCTATACTGGAGGAAAGAACAACAATCCCAAAAAATGTAGGTTAAATTGGATATTTCCACATTAAGTTGTTGTGGCTCCTGCCTTGCTTATCTTTGTGTGTTAATCTTTTGCCGGTTTCTGTCTTTATTCCTGCAACAACAGACCTGGCAAAAAACTTGAGCAATTGCTACTCGTTTTTTACCGTGATTTAGAAGTGTCGCAAATGTTATGCAATTAGGTCACATTTCATTTGCTCTCAGATTAGGAAGATAATGCAATTATTAAAATAGGTTCCATTTTTTATTTCATTCACAAAGAAGCCCATTTTTTTAATGCATCTATATGTGTTTTTGTATTGGAGTAATTTGAATTTATATTGAAATGATACCCATTTCAGGTATAATATAACCAACAATCGCCATTTAGGTTTTTAATAGATTAAACTTCACATGGTATTCTTTAGATGTAGACGTTTATTTCCATTTCCATTTCTTTTGCAAGGTGACCCATATATTCCCTTAACGGTGATTCTAGACTAGAGACAAGCTATACATCTTAAAAAGGGGGAAAAGAATAAAAAGATCAGAGACTAGCTGTAGATAATATTGAGTTCTTCAAGCAAGAATAAAATTACTTACTATAATTTGTAAATACAGTTTCAGATAAGCAGAATGAAGCTCTTGATGATCGTAGAAGAAATGATGTTTTCATGAGAGAGACGATTCCAATGTGGGTGGCATGCTTAGGGTACACTGGTTTCTCTATCATCTCCATCATTGTGATCCCACTTATGTTTCCTGAGCTAAAGTGGTATTATGTACTTGTTGCCTACATTTTGGCACCATCTCTTAGCTTCTGCAATGCATACGGTGCTGGTCTAACTGACATGAATATGGCCTATAACTATGGAAAGGTGGCTCTTTTTGTACTTGCAGCCTTGGCCGGAAGAAATAATGGTGTGGTCGCAGGACTTGTAGGATGTGGCCTGATTAAATCCATTGTTTCCATCTCATCAGATTTAATGCATGATTTTAAGACTGGTCATCTGACCCTCACTTCTCCTCGGTCGATGCTTCTTAGTCAAGCCATTGGGACTGCAATTGGCTGCATCGTAGCTCCTCTAACATTCTTTCTATTCTACAAAGCTTTTGATGTGGGGAACCCCGATGGAGAGTATAAAGCTCCCTATGCTATCATCTACAGAAACATGGCAATTCTTGGTGTAGAAGGCTTCTCAGCACTTCCACAGCACTGCTTGCAGCTTTGTTATGGGTTTTTTGCTTTTGCTATTCTTGCAAATTTGGCAAGAGATTTATCCCCTAAAAATGTCGGAAAATGGATTCCTCTACCGATGGCTATGGCGGTGCCTTTCCTCGTAGGGGCGTACTTTGCAATTGACATGAGTGTGGGGAGTCTAATTGTGTTTGGTTGGCACAAGCTAAACAAAAAAAAGGCAGGTTTGATGATACCTGCAGTGGCCTCTGGCTTGATATGTGGAGATGGGCTGTGGATTCTCCCTTCTTCTGTTCTTGCATTAGCCAAAGTTCATCCGCCGATATGCATGAGTTTCTTGAAATCCAAATAGAATTTCTGCCTTTTAGAGTTAGAATCTGTAGTTGGTTACGAAATAAAACTGATAGCACAACACAAATTTTGTTGCAGAGTCAGACAAATGCAGAGATGGCTTAGAAAGTTTCCATTTTAAATATTAGATGTATAAAAGCAAAGTCATAGTGTAATAGTGTAATAATGTTATAAAAAATATTTGAACGCGAAATAGACGGTCTAAATGTATAAAACTGTTTATATTTTCTTTATGAAGTTTTTGACAAATCACTTAAATAAAATAGAAAAAAACAAAATTTACAAATTCATTAATTGTGGTAAATGGATTTTGTTCATGCTTTTGAACGATTCTCCTCTTTGCCTTTCTTTTTCCTTCTCTCTCTCTCTCTCTCTCTCTCTTATTGATATCTAATTTAAAATATGGCTTATTTTATTCTTCACAAATTTTAGTGCAAAATTGTGGACAGATATTTTAAATTTCCCGCAAAAATTTGTTATTCCTCAATTCTCAAATGGATTGCCTAAAACTAAGATTGGAGTCGATCAAATTAAATTTAATTTGACAAATTAAATTTGTTTTTCATTTTGAAATAAAAAAATCTCGCTTTTCAGTTGAAAATCTTGCTTTTCGGTTGCTAACTCCTATAAATAGATCATTAAAATCAAAATAATAATGGTTTTTTTTATTAGTAACTATTTTTTTTATAACGTGTTTTGTACGTTGACTATACTCGTTTAATTTTTTTTTTGTCATTTGTCACTTTTACTTGTTATTTATACTTTTATTATTTAGATTTTTATAATGTGCATGTCAAGGTTAATTAATAAAACAATAACCTGTGCATACATAACTTCAGTTCAATTTATATCCTCATTTATCTAAAAATTCTACAATATCACCTAATAACTGTATATATACGATTCTATAATATCACATAATAAATGCCTTTCAATATAGAGATGTTAGGATGTAACTATAAACTATTATATATTTTTTTAAATTAATATTTTTCAACTGTTTGTCATCCCACATACACATATGTTTATTTTATTTAAAAATAAATTATAAAACTAAAAAATTTAAAATTTTTGAAAGACTTAAATATGTATATTCTATTTGAAAATTTATCTTTTAAAAATATAACTAATCAAATTGTACAAATATAAAGAAAAACAAATATTATAATTATATATATAATTTTTTCTAAATAAAATATTTTAAATTATAATAAAAACATAATCAAACATTTAAAAAATAAATTTGAAAAATAAAATATTCAACTGTTGTTCATCCCAAACATACACATCTATGTCTTATTATTTAAAAATAAATATAAAACTAAAAAATTTAAAATTTTGAAAGACTTTAAATATGTATATTCTATTTGAAAATTTATCTTTTAATACAATATAGACATAATCAAATTTAACAAATATAAAAACGAAAAACAAATATTATAATTTATATTATATTAATTATTTTCTAAATTAAAATATTATAAATTATTATAAAAACATAATCAAACATTTAAAAAAATAAATTCTGAATAAATAAAATATAATAATTTTCAGGAATATCTCATTAATCATATATATTTATAAAAAATAAATTTCAAAAAGATAAAATTTTTGAAATTTAAGAAATACTTAACTATCTATATATATTTATTTTAAAATGATTTAATAAATTATTATTCTCATCAACTAATTAAAAAATAAATTTCAAAAAGATAAAATTTGAAATTTTAAAATACTTAACTATCTATATATATTTATTTTAAAATGATTTTAATAAATTATATCTCATCAACTAATAAAATAATTTTTTAGTCGTTTTTATGTCTATGTTGCACATTGACTATACTTGTTATACTCATCTTTTGTACTCTTTTAAATTTGTTTATCTATATAATATTAAAGCATAAGTTTTTGTTTAGATTAAAATAAATATAATTAGTTAATTTGTATTACACTTTTTCATACAAGCTGCTTGTAATACTACGTGTTATGTACTTAATTTTATTTTTATATAATAAAGTAGTATCAAAATAAAGTTCAATTAATCCGTAGACCTAAGACTTAACTTACAAAAATACCCTTAACTTTTCAACTTGTTGCATAATCACTTTAAAGTAACCTTTGTACCATGGGCATCCCAATTTCGAAACTTGGATATATTAGCATCCTAAAATGATATTAGGGTTAGGGTGCCGGTTGGACCAAGCTTAGGGTGCTGGACGGACCGGGCTTTGGTTTGACAACTGGTTTTATTGGTTTTGCCGGACAGACTGGGCTTAAAGCATGTAATGTACCGAGCGAACCGGGCTTGACAGTTTATAAGTTGCTGGATGGACCGAGCTTAATTGACAAAATTTTGAGTTTGAGTGGTTATACCCTAGAGCTTGCCACACGGTGGGATCAAAGCTCCACGATAGTAAACGACCAAAGAGGTCGAGTCTTCCTCCAAGTGACCAAAGGATGGGCACAAAATCCTATTATTGTCTTATAATATTGTTAATTAACGGATTATTAATTAATCTTTAGATTAATTAATAATAAATTTCTTAACTAGTAGCCTTGGTCTAAGTAAGACCAAATTGTGATTGGAAGTCGAAATGATCGACTTTTGAGAACCAAGTTGGGCCTTAACTCAACTAAGGAAGAAGAACAAGACCGGACTATATTGCTTTAGAATAATTCACGAGGGAGAAATAGAGTCATTGATGCTTGAGAAGCGCTCGATCAAGCAATAAGAGGTGGTTGAAAATGAGGAGAGAGTGTGCCTTTTATAGGCCAAGGGGATGCCATGTAAAAACACAGCGGTACCAAGCTCTTTAAAATCGATACCGATCTGGTCAAAATCGGTAACATTTGAGGTGCTCAGTAGGCAAAAGATTAGTGCCAACTAGGGGCAGGTCGGTACCGACTAGGGAAAATTACTGGTTTGCACTCTCACACTGTTGGAACCATAGTCAAATTTTCTAGAACCCAATTTTGAAATCATGGTCAACACTATTTTGCAGAAGAGCACCCATTTTTTCTCACCTCTTTTTTACAAATGGTAACATCATCTTTGGTCGAGCTACCAAAACTGAAGTGGACATCCTACTTAAAATCCTTGTTGATTATGAGCAGTCTTTGGGACAGAAGGTGAACTTACCAAAGTTAGAAATTTCTTTGGGCAAAAATGTTCCACAAGTAGTTCAGGAGGATCTTAAACAAAGGATAGGAGTTAGGGGTGTAGAGTAGCACAATTAGTATTTGGGCTCGCCTACTGTAGTTGACAGGAAAAAGAAATTAACATTTAGCAACCTATTTGATAGAGTTGCAAAAACACCATACTCATTTCTATTTTTTATATTAAAATATTGATTATAATTTTATCTTATATTATTTAGATTTTTATAGGCTGAATACATAAATTCACCCTTGTACTATGATAAAGAACCTTATGGCCCCTCCTATTTTCAAAGTGACCTCGTGGCTCTTTAAACTTTAATTTTTGTAATATTTACACACCTCGCTGAAATGAAAAACCTACGTGAATTACACGCACAACGACATGTGTCCACATGGACACATCATATTCCAAGTGGCAGTGACATGGATACATCATATTCCAAGTGGCAGTTAAGTTTGCCACATATATACATTATACAATTTTTGACTCTAGCCTTGTTTATCGAGGATTCTAGGTTGAACAAGACATTCCCTTAAATTTCGACTGGTCTGTTCAATCGAGGGCCTACTACCTGGATTAAAATCCATAGGTATGCCTTCGTATCTCATTTGTATGAGCATTAAGGCGCATGAAGTTCTACCATCGATCAAGATGGTAGGATTTTGAGGTTCCACTCTTAGAGTGGGCTTATGAGGTGCTGGACGGATCAAGCTTTTGGTTGAAAACTGGTTTTGTAGGTTTTGCCGGATGGACTGGGCTTAAAGCATTTTTGAATGCCAGGCGGATCAAGCTTGATAGTTTATAAGGTGCCAGACGGATCGGGCTTAATTGAAAAAGTTTTGAGTTTAGATGTATACCTTAGGTCGAGGGGTTTGAAGGTTAGGTAGTGCAAGCGTACAGTTGCATAACTCCACGGTGATTAAATGACCAAAGAGGTCGAGTCTTTCTCCAACAAGGAAAAGGTAGGGCACGAGAACCCAAAAACAGTCTTATAATATTATATTATATTTAGCTTTGGTCTAAGGAAGACCAAAGTGTGAGTGAAAGTTGAAATGATCGACTTTTGAGAACCAAGTCGGGCTTTTATTTAGCTTTGGTCTAAGGAAGACCAAAGTGTGAGAGCTTTGGTCTAAGGAAGACCAAAGTGTGAGTGAAAGTTGAAATGATCGACTTTTGAGAACCAAGTCGGGCTTTAACTTAACTAAGGAAGATGAGCAAAGTCGGACTGTAAATCCTTAGAATTGTTCACAAAAGGGAAAATGAGAGTCGTTGATGCTTGAGAAGTGTTCGATCAAGCAAAAAGAGGTGTATGAAATGGTGGGGGGTGTCGCATTTATAGGCTGAGCTCGAGCTGCTCGATACCGAACATGTCAGAGCTAGTACCGTCCATGTCATTGCTGATACCGGTGATGGCTACTCGATAGGGCTTTGCCGATATCGGCTGACAAGTGATTGGTACCAGTGCTGAGTAGGTCAGTACTAATCAGGGCAAATTATCCCTTCTGGCTTGATTTTTGAGTTTTTGGGTTTTTGAAAGTCCGTTCGAGGCCAAATGACGTCCATCGAGTGTGAATACTCAAATTTTGAGGCTCAAAAAGCCTGTTTTCCCGGACTGCAAACAGTCCGGCCGAACCGGAGGCCATTTGGAAAGTTCACTTGGAAAGTTCACCGAAAGTATGCCAATATGGTACTTCAAACGTTCGGGACGTCGCGAGGATCTCGGATCTGGGCCCGAAATTTTTTTTGGAGGTCCGGAGCGCCCAGAAAGGCCTCTGGAGCGAAAAGATAGCAAGACCACCGACCAGCGGTTCCGCGGCGAAACGCGGCTCCGGGCGCCG